TTGCTTCTATTTTCTCAGCAAAATGGGAAGCAAGGACATCAGCTAAGAATCGGACTCAGAAAAGATGTCCTGAAGATTTGAGGGAAAAGGATAAGGTATGAAACAGTCACCTGGGGAGTGGGAGGGCGAGTCCAGAGGATGGGGTAAGATGACTACCAGGCTCCACCCAACACACTTTGAGGGCTGGGATCATGAATTTAAAGAAAGATCCAGTGGTGTGGTTTTCCTCAAGCCATGTTCAGTGTGTGAGTAAAGATGCATAACAGATGTAGCATGAGATACAAGCCGAGGTAAAAGCACACGGGATACAGGGAGGTTCAAAGGAATGCAGGGTTTTCACAGGAAAGGGAAGTGATCTGATGTACATTTTAGAAAGATGACTGTAGCTGCTGTGTGGGGACTGGGGTGTAGTCCGAAAGAGTAGAAAGAGGAGAGGCTGGGTAGGAATGTGTCTCTGCCCTGGAAGAAGATATTCCGTTTTCTTCAGATATCTTCTCCTGTTTTCTTCACCTGCCAAACTCATACTCTTTCTTCAAGAGCTTTTTAGAACTAGTCACAACAGCCAAAGGATGGAAGGAAGCCAAATGCTCATTAGTGAATGAAGGGATAAACAAATGTGGTCCCTCCATTCAGCCATAAAAAGGATACAGGCTACAATGTGGATGAGCCTTAAAAACATTGTGCAAGTTTTATCTCTTAAGCATGAAAAACTTTTACATAGTTCAAAAGCCAAAGCGGTAGAGAAAAGCATACTCAGAGAAACAAAACAGAATAAAACATTATGCAAATAAAATCAGCCAAGACACAAAAGGTCACATATTGTATGATTCTGTTTATATGAAACATCCAGAATAGGTAAATCCAGAGACAGAAACCAGACTAGTGGTTGCCGGGGGCTGCGGGAGGGGGCGTGGAAAGCGACTGCTTGTTGGGTGCAGAGTTTCATTTTGGGGTGGTGCAAATGCTTTGAAATTTGATGGAGGTGATGATCACACAACACTATGATTGCACTATGAATTGTACATTTTAACATGGTTACTTTTGTGTTTGTGAAATTCATCTCAATTAAATTTTTTAAAGAAAAAAAGGAATATATTAGATTTGTTTTCTTATTTCTATCAATTAAAAAAAAAAGCTCTCTTAGAAAGACACCAAGTTTCCTCAGAGACTCTAGGCAAGAGCTGGGCAACCAGGTTGGGGAGGGGGCGCCAGCAGCGGGATGGGTGCAGCCCTCCCTCCGGGGTGCTCATGTCCCTCCTCCAATCACCTCTGTCCCTGGGAGAAACAGAATATGATTGGCCAAGCTGTGTCCTGTGACTCTGTGTTCTCCAGGGTTTGGGGTGGGTTTGGGATCAGCAGCCCCACTAAAACCCATGGATTGAGGGTGGGGTAATAGAGAATGGTGCTGTGGGAACTGGACAAAGGAAGAAGGGATACTGAGCAGAACATGACAGCTGGTGTCCACTCCAAACACCCCTCAGCTCACATAGTCTTTCAACAGCATCTGTCTGGTCAGTTTTCACTGAGCATCTCCCCAGCTGGAACTGGCTAGGCACTGGCAATAGAAATGGTCTCTGCCCTCCCGGAGCTTAGACTCATGAGTAAAGAGAGACACTGGACTTATGCCAGGGGGCGGAGTGCTGTGCAGAGAATGCCTGGGAGGCTCTAGAATCCAGGCAGATGTGGAAGCATCCCACCCTCTTTAGGGCCCCATGGCTACCTGGAGTCCCCTCCGTCTTATTGCCCATCCCGCTGATGTCGCTGCCTCTTTGTCTACCTCACTTGCTCATTAGATTGTGAGCCCTGAGCGGCACAGAGCTCAGAACTAACGCTGGGGCTAAGAGTTTAAAAGAAGAAGGAGAGAGGGAGAGAGTGAGGACACAATGATGTCCTGGATACACTAGATTTTAGTTTATGTCCCGCTTCCCTTTTGATATAGGAGCTTTAAAACTAACTTGTATTGTGTGGCCCTCTTGCCCCCTACGATGGCAGTGGGGAGTGAGATAACTTTCTTGCAGTGTGACAGCTGGTGGCACTGCCCTTACAATAAATCACGGCAGGGGCCTGGGCCTGTCATCTGCTGGAGTCCTCTGCTGCCAACAGGGCAGTGGTCGCACCATTGACCCCAGCTGGTGGCTGCTTCCATGTCCAAAGTCCTTCTCTCTGGGTGGTCTGTTTCCGTATCTCATCAACCTTGCAACCAAGACAGCTTTCTTGGATAAACACCAAAATATTGGCAGTGTTGTCTTTGAGTTAAGGGATTATGGGTAGCTTTTTTCTTTTTTATTTAAATGAAGTGAGGGTGAATCACTGACAAAAATGAAGAAAATCTAATAAGTTATTTTTAAAGTGAACCCTTTCTTATGCCAGTACGTAAGCTCACTTCCACTTCTTTGGTCTTCTCTAAGGCAGAAAGTGTTTATGACCACCCCTGCCACCGCCACCACCAATACTGTAGAACCACGAGGCATGAACTTACCTGTTTTACTGGTGAACTTCAAAGGCCCAGTATCACAAGGCTATAAATGATGTAGCAGTCAAGTCCTGCCCATGTCTGTCTGACTTCAAAACCCATGTTGTCCTTATACCACTTTGTCCTGTGTTAAACGGTGGAAGAAGTATTTATTAAGCTAGATTGATGCATCCTTGGCAAAGTCTCAGCCCACTGCTCACCCCTTCCTTCCACCATCTCACCTATTAACTGAAAAATTCACAGTCCCAAGAAGTCAGAAAAACTACTACCTCTACTATTAATGTGACTGCTACCGCCAGTAGCATGGCAGCTCCTGCTTTGGGAGAGTTTACTATGTACCTAGCTCTGTGTTAAGTTTTAAGTACTTGGCCTGCATGGACTCATTGAATTCTCATAGAAATGCTATGAAATAGGTAATATTTTGTCCCATTTTATAGATGAAGAAATGAAGGCTTAGAAAGATGAAATGCCTTGTCCAGAGTGACATCGCAGATAAGCAGCTGGGTCAGAACTCAGCCCCAGGTCGAGGCTGCCCCTCGAGCAGGAAAATCGCAGTCACTGTTGTGCTAGTGTTCCAAGGACGTGATTCACCAGAGGCAGAGACAAGGCAGTGGGAAGGTGGAAAGCTCTGGAATGTGGTCCTTGATTTTTCCTTTTACTAAAAAGAACAAAAGGCCGAAGGGAGAAAAATGGAGTACCTGGTGAAGTGCTTCAGTTAGCTCCCCGACAGCCCATCACCTGCAGCCTGAACTTTAGCTTCGCCCCCACAAAAGTAGGCTGTTTGGGTTGGGATGGAGGGTGGATCACCCTTTTGCATCAATGCAAATGTGAAATGATATACTTGCATTGAATATAAAAGTCCTGATGCCCCAGCCTTTGTCCCCCATCCTGCCTTTCATTTTCTTTGTTTTTATTTCCTTGAAGGCTACAAAAGTATAAGAAAATGTTGGCAAAGTGGCAGCCAGCTTTTAGCATCCACCTGCTAAAGTGCCCCCCACCCCTAAGGTACCCCGTCTGGCTCTCTAGCAGGTGTAGCTTGCAGCTGTAGCAGATTTTGCCCAGCATGGGACAGATGGAGGGGACACAGCCATCACTGACGGATAGTTGTTTTTTTTTTTTAATAAATGATCAGACCTTCATTGAAGCTTGGTAGGGAAATGTGGCACTGATGCAAAGTATGCCAAGTTGGCAGGTGTCTGCTCTGTTGTATTGTATGAGCAATAGTGAGATTCCTCTTGCAGGGGGGCGGGGGGAGTGGAGGAGGTGGTTGGCATCCATGGCAGCACAGGCAGATCATTTTGAGTTATTTTGAAGTAACTACAGTAGGTTTTACTTGTGGGAAATGGCACAGGAGCCTTAAAGATCTGGGGTACTTGAGTCATGCGTTCTCACTGAGAGTCACCTTCCTCACCTATCAAATGAGGGTGTGGCAGTCTGCCTGGAGCTCACCAAGGATTCGCATGCCTTGCTACATTTCCCACAAAGGCAGGGTCATGTGACTAACTCTCACTCTTGGCGCATAGGGAAGGCATGTGTCACTCTCCACCAGGGGGCAGTTAAGCAGGCAAGCTTGGAGGTCCATATATGGCCAGTGGCATGGTTACAAGAGGAAGGAGGGCTGCCTGGCCCACATCAGGCATTACATGGGTTTGCCTGTATTGGCAGCTAAAACAAAGCCATGGACTAAGGTCAGGAATATGGATGAGGCAGATGAAGTATTTCACACACAACAGAGAGTCCATCATGTGCTGGCCAGAGCTACCGAAGCCTCTACAAGCAAATCTCCCAAAGCAGACCAGACAGAGTTTAGATGATTTCTCTCTCCTGTGGCATCTCATTCATGCCAAATCTTTGAGGAACTTGATTTGAGAATCTTGGGACACAAGGTAAAATGTAAAGGTCACCATTGTCCCTGAAAGATGACTTTTCATTTGATCTTTTGTCTCATGGAAAACTTTTTCCTGGGTTAGTATTTCCAGAGAAAGTGACCTGGGCAATATTTGATCTTTAACCTTAGTCACGGTTCTCCAGATAAACAGAACCAATAGAATATATAAAGAATATATGATACATGATACACATGTGATATGATATCTATAGATATATTTATAAGTCTGTCTGTCTGTCTGTCTGTCTATCTATCTATCTATCTATCTATCTATCTATCTATCTATCTATCTAGGGAGAGAGATTTTAAGGAGTTATTTTATGCAATTGTCGGGGCCAGCAAGTCCAAAATTTGTAGGGCAAGCCAGAAAACTGAGGAGTCAGGTGAGAGCTGATACTGCAGTCTTGAGTCTGCAGGCTGGAACCTCAGGCAGAATTTGTCTGCTGCACTCTGTAGGCAGAATTCCTTTTTCCTTAGGAAACTTCCGTCTTTTCTCTTAAGGCCTTCAACTGATTGGACAAAACCCACGCACATGATGGAGGGTACTCTGCTTTACTTACATTCAATTGATTGTAAATGTTAATTACAGCCAAAAAATGCTTTCACAGCAAGACATAAACTAGTATTTGACCAAACCCAGTTATTGATGACTCTATTTATTTATTAGTCTAATACTTTTTTCAACCAAAAATGCACTAAATACAATTGATATAAAAAGTGGTATTTTGACATTACCATTTTAAGCAAAGACAATTTTCTCCACACAAGTTCTAGCTAGAGAATATCATACAGAACAAATTTGAATCACAGGCCACATTTGCTTTGGGAGCACATGCTAAGCAAGAGGGATAGAAAATCAGCCCCTTCTACCATCCTTCAGTCAGTTGTGCAACAGTTCTACTTTTATGTGTTTCAAAGCACTGTGGTGTTTTGCCTTTATTCTGTCCCTAGGGAACTTTTTCTGTGTTGTATCTTTATTTTAACCGCAATTTGAGTAAAAGGTAATCATAAGTCTCAAGATGATTGAAAACTTGGTGAAAATAACAGCAACAAAAAAAACTGGTTCAAAAGAAGAACGTACTTTCTAAAGAGTGATTCTCTCCTGCTGCTTCTCTTCAGCCAGCATACCATTACCACCTCCTAGTGAGCCCCTCCTTGGGGAGAACAGCAAACTTTTCCTACATTATAATTTATGTACAGACTGCGTTTGTTTACTTTCTGGTTGGTGTTGATTATGTAAATTCCCTTTCATTGTTCAATTACAGCCATTCAGCAAGAAATAGGTACAGGCCGGCCGGCCCAGGAATCTGCATTGTTATAAGCGCCGCACAGAATTCTCTAAGGAAAATTAATGTTTGAAAACCACTGCCTTAAAGTATAAGAGGAGACCATTTATCCAGGTGGGTTTTTTCCTCTGTCACATTTCCCAGTCCTCCCCCTTTCAATCACTATTTGCCAAGGAAAGACAAGTTAGTACTATTTTTATGAGCATATTATAATTGTGAGGGCAAAACTGAGATTTTCTTTTTAAAAAACAAATAACCAAATTAAAATTTTTTTCTCAATTATCCAGTTGTTCAATCACTTCCAACAGAACAGTTGATCCCAAGTGGGCTACAAATAGGACAATTTCTGGGCATTCAGACTGAAACACTCATCAGAGGCATTCTTGAATGGCTGTCAAATTCTGGCAAACCTAGACCAGAGAAAGGAGAAAAGAAATGCTTAATTCATCCACATACACAGAAATGCAGAATCTATTTGAATTACGTGTGCATGTATGTGTGCACATACGCACATATATAAGCGAAAGTGGAGCCCTAAATTAGAGTAACTTTTTTTTTTTTACCCCCACCAGTTCTTAGTTCTCTCCTGTCCCTCTAACAGGCTATAGGCGATTTTGCTCCAATCCCAGCTTGGTACTTAGTTAATAGCATTTTATGTTGATTTTTTTCCTTCCCTACTCTGTCTAGAACAGAAATCCCTATTGGGCAACAAATGGTTTTTCCCCGAATCTCTACTCCCTAAAGTTGTTCATTCTTTCACCAACTATATAAACATACGTTCCTGCATATAAAAGTAGAGAGAACGGTGGGAGGGGGAGGGTATAGCTCAAGTGGTACAGCACGTGCTTATCATGCGTGAGGTCCTGGGTTCAATCCCTGGTGCCTCCTCTAAAAATAGAGAGGTAAATAGACCTAATTGCGTCCCCCTACAAGAAATAAACAAAAATTTTTTAAAAGGTAGTGAGAACAGATGCTACCCATCTTGCTACTATGATGTCACACATGTGCAACACGGACTTTTCTGATGCTAACACATTATTGGCAACATGGGATACCTCTGATGACCTGCATGTGAAACGGATCTTCCAGCCAGTGGTGAGCAGTATAGACAGTCCCCAAACTCATAGTCTTTAAATTTAACCAAGAAAGCAGTTGAATAAGAATTGCATTATGATATGAGAGGGATGTGACTTGAAAAGTAAGGGGCGTCTTATCTAATCTAACCACGTGCTGTGCAGGACAGGGGTGGGAGGGCTGCTCCCAAATGTCTGCTGAGCTGAACTCAGGGCGTGTCCTCCTCTCCCTTGGATTCCCTTCCTTGACTGTGGGGGGAGACATATGGGTCACGACTGATACGATGTTAATAACCATGCCTTTGGCTTATTGGTTTCTGGATATGTTTATACATGAGGAAGAAAGTTGCAAAATCTTTAATGTACAGGACCAGACCCCTTGATATAAAGGACGTACTTTAGTATTTTTTATTCTTTAAAAAATTTTAAATTTAGTTTAAA